GCTCCAGTTCTCCAGACTTTAGTTTTCACCTTGATTCGTGGACCCAGATTCACAGAGGAGTCTCAGAATTGAAACTGGACCTTGGGAGACTGTCCAGATCAGCAAATAAAGGATTTATTCTGGGATCAAGGTAGAGGTCACTGATCGGCCACCAGTGGACTGGGTCTGGCCCACTGGGGTGTGTGTGTGTGTGTTTGTGTGTGTGTGTGTGTGTGTGTGTATGCCCCCACATAGTGTTTTTAAAAGGTGGAATTAATCACCAATTAATATAAAATTGGGAGATTTCACATAGAAGTCAGGATTTCTAGCTTGTTAGGAAAAAACCCAGAACATCTGACAATGTGGGGCCTGAATTTCTTTTTGTCAGCAGGTGCCTGAAACCGAATTGTGTCTGTAGCTGGGGTAGATACTCCATAAGCTGCTCTCATTTGCGTCCTCTTCCTGGGCCTTGCAGGCATTTAAGTGAGCACCGAGTGTGTGGTCAGCCCTGAGTGGGCAGGTGGGACCTGGTGCCCCATCCACTGTGATGAACGGACCCTGCAGAGGTTGGTCAGGCTGGCCCTGAGGACTTAGCTGTGGGCTCAGGCTTAGTTCTGGACTGAGAATGTTCATTATCCCTGGAGAATTTCTTGAAGCCTGTCTGGGGAAGTTGAAGACCCTCCAAGGACTGACACTGCAGAGCCAGTGGAATCTTGGAATCCATCCTTGAGCAGTGTGGATCTATACTTTGGAGCTTAAAGCAAACTGGCCTCTTGGGGCCTTCTTGGATAAGATCTGCCTGGAGTTTGGAGCTAGACCAAAGTAAGGAATCTGGGTGCTGGCTGCACCCTTGTTTTCCATTCCCAAACAAACCAATAGACAACTCATGGGAGCCATGGCACAGAAATGTCTAGTCTGGCAATTGCTGGGTATCTGAAAGATCATCAAAATATTATTTTGCCACTCAGTCCCTGACAGAATATCCTGGAATCTGTGTAGAGTTTACTGGTTTGAGCTATGGCAGTGACTCTGCTGTGGTATGAAATGTTTGAGGTATAGCAGGCCCTTGCTGGCTTCCTCCTGTCGGGAGCACCTTGCCCTCTGTCTCCATCCAAAGCCAGCTGGGACTGGGGGAGATGGGGAAGGACATAGACAGGAAATTATTTTTATTTGACCCCAAATCCCTTAGGCTGCAGCTTAAGCTCGTTTCCTCATTTCGCATCCTGTGGAGATGAGAAAACAGCTCATTGTGCCCTACCTGCATGCCTGCTCTGCGAAGTGACCTTCCGACGTTCTCCTGTCAGGCTGTAGAATTCCTGCTGTGTTGATGCTTGGGTTTGTCCTTTTGTCTTTAGAGACACAGCTCGTGGGATATATAGCTTTAAGGACTGTCCCTGGTATCATCTTCATTAGAGGAGAATGTTGAGAACGATCACAGAAGGTTATGTGCTTATCTGTCTAGCAGGGAGGGTGGTCTGTTCCAAGTGTCTAAGAACAGTAAAAATCAGTAAGGACCCCCTTTGTCATATTTCTTCTTCATGCTATCAGAGTGCTGATTCCTCAGCGCGGAACCCAGAGTGTAGCCTGCAGAGCCTGAAACCACTTTCACACTCCTTATCCTTTATTTCACGTCTAAGGACTGCAGTCATTAGACCTTCAAAACGCTGATCGGGAGTAGGGCAAATTGTCATGCTTACTTCTAGTCCCAAGGACAAGTTTGCTGTCAAGCAATCTAAGCGCATGCACGTTGGTTTGCACCTGCCTGAGTGACGGCTCCCGAGTCAGGTGCTGGTTTGATGACTTCACTCAGAGCTGAGGTGGTGCTGGGTGAGGGTGGGGCGGGGTTTGCTTTTTATCCGGCCCTCCTGCTGGTCTATTTGTCTGGTTCTCTCTCAGTTAGGCATGAAGCCCCCAAACTGTCATTAATTTTAAACAACAGAGTGGATAGGATTCTAGGAAATGAAAATATCTTCTAATCAGGCCAAGAATTTTGTTGAACTGGCCCAGTTTGTGTGTGTTGGGGGCAGGTGGGAGGGGGAGGTCGTGGTGTATGGGCCTAAGGCTTCTTGAGAAACAGAAATTCAGGGATGACTTTATAGGGAGATTGACTGTAAGGTTGCCTCTAAGGTCTGGTTTCAGGGTCCCTGGAAGGCTTTTATGTTAAAAAAAAAAAAACCTTTCATTAGGTAACTCTCTAATGCCTAAAATGTCACTACCAGAAAGTCCCTCCTCTGGCTTAAAGTTTTGTTGTAAGAATGCAGATGTCCCCAGGAGAGCACGTCATTTATTTATTGTACTCCTTCCAGAGATAGGGGACAAGGAGGACACCCAGCACAAGGAGAGGTGATGGAAGGAGGGGCACGAGTACCGCAGAGTGGAAAACAGTGGGGGAAGGTGGGCTAGAGGGTGGTAGGAATGATAAACACAACTACAGAGGCCTCACATTGGTGTTAGGATAGTCGTGACTGCCTAAATTAACTAGGTTTCGCTGGACATGGTCATTAATCATCTAAAATCAGGGACCAATTCTGAGGGCCCATGAACTTCTGGAAGAGCTGGGCGTTGGAGTTGAGTGAAGCCTTTGCAGTGGCTTCATCCCTGGAGCAGCTGTGGGACTCTGGGAAGCTCACCTACCTTCTCTGTTCCAGGTCTTGATGTCCTCATCTGTAATCTAGAGGGAGTAAATACTTCCCAGGGTGTGTGTTATGAGCACCTCTTGTAGTAGAAGTTTAAGTGGCACATAGTAGATGCTCCATAAGCCCCTTCTCCCATGCATTTCACACTCCCATTTCCATATGTTTTAGAGCAGATATACATCATAGGCCCTTTTTCCTAACATACCAATGTGGGCCCAGGCAGTTAGTTGAGTCGATGGTACTTGATCATTGGGGAGAGGAGAGCAAACAAACTCATGCATGAACACATTTGGAAACTCTGAGTAAGCAGACAAAATGATATGCATTAGATTTTGGCAACCGAGGCCTTTTCCTCTTGCCCTTCTCTGTCCTTTTTGTTGAAGCTACTTGATGGATTTGAATGGCTCTCCTCATGCTGGGCTGATGCGTCCCTTTGAATGTGGATTCTCGTGTGTGTTGGAAATCATTCAATTCTGTGTCCAAGGATAAATGCAAAGCATAGCAGGGAAGAACAATGAGTATACTTACAAATTGTTCTTTTCATGTATCAGTAATAAAAGTAAATCATTTTATGGTCTAGGTAGCTGTGTATGGATTGAATCACTAGTGCCCAGTAGAAAATGTGACAGTGTTTGGGTTTCACAGGTCTCACATTTCAGAATGTCTACTCAGGTCTACAGCCATACTTCCCTGAATGTGCCTGATCCTGTCTGATCTTGGAAGCTAAGCAGGGTTGGGCTTGGTTAGTACTTGGATGAGAGACTGTTGAAGATCAAACTTTCCTTAAGGGAGATTTGGAGTTGAACAGTAAGGAAAAATGCTATTCACACGTTCATTTGTTCAATTTCTTCCTTGGGAGAAACACCCAACCGTGAGCTCCCTGTTGTAGTTTTCGGATGTCTTGCTTTGCTTCTACACACCTTTTGATCAGTGTGAGACACTGGATTCCTGAGAATGATTCCTGAAGTTTTTTGTAGGTGAGGAAGGGTACCTGAAAATTAGAGAAGAGCAGCCACTGTTGCTAACTTTAAATGCCCCAGAAGTGATCGGTGTGCTGTCTTTATAGTCTACCCAACTCCTGTTTCCCAGAGAGCATTAGATTGTGTTTCTCCATCACAGGCCCGTGGAAACCTCGCGTCTGGAGTCGGGGGGAATGCTTTGTGGACTCTGGTCTGTACCTTTAGCCCAAAATTGTGCATTTGTCTCCAGAATGGAGATTATTTCCCTAATGCTGTGAAAATCTTCACACTCATGCTCTGTTTTCATCCCTTCAGTTTCTCTAAGGAGTTCTCTCCTTTGCTAATCATTTTACTCCAGAGGCAGGGGGGCAGTTTTGGAGGAGTGAGTGATGTATGTTAAAAAATCTGTGTTTATTCTGTTCAGAATTTTCATCCAATATTAAAAGCCCATCCTAACCAATGTGTGTCACCATGGAACATTCTCCTTTCCCTTTCTTCTTCTATGAGATTCCAAATGCATTTTTCTCAACATTACTAAGTTTGAAGGTTTTTGGATTCTTTTTCCTTAGGTTATTTTTTTTTTTTTCCTGAGCGTGCCTTGCATCACTGAATAGTCAGTTTCAGATCCAAGTTTGACCAAAATGTGTTTGACTATTGCTTGAATATTTAGCCTATATTTATATTATGTTGCATTACAATATCGGTTACATAGTGAGCTGAGAGATTTTGTTTGACAAAATGTTATGTTTCATTTTAGTAATTTTGAAAATCAAGAATTTTCTTTGGAACCTCATAACTTAAGATAAAAATGTAATTGTGCTTCTTACTAACTTGTTTTTCTTCTGCAACAAAATATAGAAACATTTACATTAGTTATATGCAGATAAAACCAGAGTTTTATCTCCCTTTTAAGCTGTTGACGAACTTGGTTTATTTTCTTTGAGGAAATGAATGCTTCTGTTATCTCACTTAGAATGCAATGAATATTATTCCTTATCAGGATAGTTTTATGTTGTTCTTCTCAGAGGTGTTTTAAAGACTGTCCAACTGTATCATACAAAATACTAAGAACTTATTTAATATATGAGTGCATCTGGAGACTATGTCAAATTACTAAGTTGTTATTCTTGCACTAGCAAGACAATGTAATCAAGCCAGAGAATGCCTAGAGTTTATTTTGATTTGTTTCCCGTTTGGTTTAAATTTACCACCCACAGTTATCCAAAATACATAAAAGCTTGTGGGTTTGGTATATTTGTTTTGCTGTCATACTATAATGATGTGCAAACATAACTGTACTTAAAGTCTTTAGGATCAAATGGATTAGATGTCATTTACTTTTTTGCTAACAATATCAGAGAACATAAAAAAATTCATTTTCCTAATCTGCTATTGCCATAAGTTGATAGTTGCACTGTTTGCATAGTTGACCACCCACTGAAGCCAAGGCACGTGAAACTGCTGTCCACTAAAATGGGCCTGAAAGTCACATGGGACCCACCCAAAGATGCTACCAGTAGACCCGTGGAGCATTACAACATTGCCTATGGGAAGTCACTGAAAAGTCTTAAATACATCAAGGTGAATGCGGAGACATACTCCTTCCTTATTGAGGATGTGGGTAAGTGACACTGTGATCTTGTTGCCAGTCAGAATTAGCTGTGCACCAACATTCTCGGTTACATTCTTAGGATGACTATTTGTGAGACAAAGGATGGCTGGGCTCAAGGGACCTCATAGTTCTTTGGGAATGGGTACCCAAGTTCGAAGGCTCTCGTCGGGAGGCTGTCACTTGACAGCCTTCATCTGGCCACTGGGCTTCCCCATTGCACTTGAACTCAAGTGCTCCTCTCCCCACATTGATGCAGCAAACAATTTTTAGTTTCTGAATGTGCTTTTGGAAAACATATTGATCTTTTTTTGTCTTATAGAAACTTGACTAGTAGACAACTTAGTAGGCTAATCTAGAGACTTCTAACTTATTTTATAATCAGGGATTGCTCAAGTCCTGTGTCCCTGTAATGGTGTGTAGAATATGTTGTGCTTAGCCACATCCAGTTAAAGTAACATTTTTCCCTATTTAAATTTAATTTTAATTTGATTGTGGAAGTTTGGAATAGTTTAGATCTTGCCTAGATATGTATTGTCACGTAAGTGCAGATGTAGGTGGTCTGGACTTAGGCTTTGAGCTGCCTCTGGATCCTCCGTCTTCTACTTTTTGGTTTCAGTAGCCTGAAACTCCATTGATTCTACCATCACGTGGTGGCCCGACCTTAAATGGATCTTAAGGAAGTAACAGAAGTCAGCACATAGGAACCAAGGTCTCCCCATGCCGTGTTGGCGTTTCGATCCTTTAGGGCTGTGGTCCCCAAACCCCAGGCCATGGACTGGTACCAACCTGTGGCCTGTCAGGATCCAGGCCACACAGCTCCATCCGCCCCACCCCTGTCCATGGAAAATTTGTCTTCCATGAAACCAGTCCCTCGGGGACCGTTGCTTTAGGGGATCAGTCAGCTCATGGCTGCTCAGCACCGGTCACCCAGCCATCGCCTACCTCGCTCCTTCTCCGCCTCCTGCATTTGACATTATGCTTCCTGTGGAACAGAGCAGAGAGTATATGAAAGGGAGATAAAGGAGGCCACACTCCCAGACTCCCTTCCTCGTGGCTTCAGCTGAACATACATTCCCTGAATCTCTAACGCATCACCGCGGCCCCCGAGCCCACCCGTGAGGTCAATGGGGAGCCTGTCAGGCCGAAGGCATGAAGGGTCACATCTGCCTGCTCAAACCTTGGGTCGTTGTGATTGCTGCAGAGAAGAAAAACATGTGAAAAGAGAGCCATAGAAGTCCCTGAAGAACAAATAGTATCTCCCAAGCAACTTTCTGATGAGTTAACTCTATGGGAATCAGAGACATGTGGATTAAATTGCTTTGAAATATTACACAAACAAGCTCAGAGCGCGCGCACTCTTTCTCCCTCGAGAAAGTGTCTGGTGAAGCTCGGTTTTGCGTTCAGTCTGACCCTAGAATGTCTCCCAATTAGTCCGGCAGGTTGTGCCAAACCCTAAGTGACCCCAGGTCCTGTCATGGCCACACAGAAGTCACACCAGTCTCGATCACAGATCACAGCAGGCCCGCAGATGCTGTCAGCCCAGTTGCTGTTCAAGGGCCTCTGGCTTGAGGACTGAGTGAAGTTTTGTTAAAGGAAGGCTCCTTGCTTTGAGAAATGTCATTATCATTATTGCCTTTGACAGAACTCTTACCTCTTTGACCCTTCGTTGCCTGAAACGCCCACAAACTTTTATCTCTACAAGGAATTGGCCGCTTCACTTACTGTTACAAGATCGTGATTCATTTTGAGGAAAACCAGCGCTACTGGAGTTTTGCTTTTTGAAGCTCCAAGCTCAGGGTGCACTCCCTTTGGAATGTGGTGTCTTGGTTTCCTTTCTTATCTCAACAACTTCAGGATCACAGCCAAAGAGACCTCTGCTATTTGACCTTGGCCCCTAGGTGAAAGTCAAAAAATGAAGCCCAATTATTTCAGGATTAGCATTTCCAAGATTCTAGGAAATATTTTTTCTAGATTTTTGTTGAAATGATCAAAAACAACTTGCAGATATAGTACGGGGAACATTTTATTGTGAAAAAGAAAACTTCATGAAGCTTTATGTATTGCAGTGAAGATTTCCCATGTGCTAAATTTTATGAATTACATTGACATTTCTTATTATTTTCTGGAGATTTTCGTTTGGAGCTTCTATGGGGAAATATTATTTGTAGTTACTGACACCAGTGTTCAAACACCTATTTAGTGGATGGTGCGTTTCTACTTCCTACATTGATTTCATGTTAAAAATCTCAAAAACTCTTTTGGTTGACTGCTTTCGAATCCAGGTTTATTACACATGCCACCTACTTTGTAGTAAATAAGTTTATGTTCTTTGGGTCAGGTGTGTTTCAGTTGCAGAAGAACAATGTTAGTGAATTTAATTAAAAAAAAGAGAGAAAGCTATCATTATGCTTGTCACTTAATTCAGATTTTATGTTTAGTTATAATTGGTATAAGGAAGATGGTTAGTGAGTCAAACTGTGTCATTCTTGGAGATTTGAAATGGTGGCTTGATACAAACCATATGTTTCAGAGCCGGGGGTAGTGTACTTTGTGCTGGTTACTGCAGAAAACCACAGTGGAGTGAGCCGTCCAGTATACAGAGCTGAGAGCCTGCCTGGTAAGTCTTATCTAGAATTGAAGGCTTAGTTTTGTTACTTAGATTGGGAGAGACATCCCTCTTTGCTTCTTCAAGTCAATATAAATTTAGAATTATTAGAGAATTTCTGAATAAGAACTTCTTAGACTTGTAAAAAAAAGTTGAAAGATTGAAAATTAGGAGAGACTTATCCTTTCTTTTAAAATAGTTTTAATGTAGGTTATTATAATGGTATTTTGCCTGAACTTTTTGAATACTCACTGGAGTAAACCCTGTGCGAAAGACCAAAGATATGTATTGTCCGTAAAGCTTAGGTGTCGAGTCACCAATATGGCCTGAGCAGATCCTTTTGAAGACTGTTGCAAAGATCACGTAAATATGTGTTAGGGATGCACTGAAATGTGGAAAATCCAATAGTCCTTGTTCCTAACTATCAAGTTGCATTTCCCTAATTTAGGAGGTGAATGGATCAAGATTGATGGTTTTCCCATCAAGGGTCCAGGACCATTTAATGAAACCGTCACAGGTACTACTTGCTCATTCGTGTCAGATCCATGTCTTCACTGAAGCACCGTCTCGCAAGAGGGTTGTGCTTCTGTCACACACATGTGCTCACAACCTTTGTTGAGTTCCCATCGCTAAACTAACACACACGCCCCACAGTCTCGGGCAATCTGTTCTGCACCTGGGGAACCAAACTGTAGCCAGTGTTGCTCATTGTTCACTGTTCTTTCATGTTCTCGCGTGGGGAAGTGTCTGCGTCTACATCTGGGGATATTGTCGCCCTGTTAACAGGCAAATATGGTGGTTGAGATGGCAGTAGCCCCATAGGATACCTACAGCTCTTTTACCTGTGAATGGCATCACTGAGCGGGACTCACAAAACAGTGGCTTTTATTGGCTGATATGTTGTATCACATCTTGCTTTTTCCTTACAACCTTGGGATATTTTGCGATATGTTAGAAAACCTGCCTTCCATCTCTGCTCCATATTTGCGTATCTGTATGTTTTATCATTTGGATGTTGATGTTGTCTGGTCATATTGTTTTACTTATTAAGAGAAGTGTTGACATTTCTCATGTGTTTCTTGACTATATTTAATGAATGGTGAGAAATATAATGTAAAATGAATGCAGTTATTTCAGAGTGTGATTGAGTAATATCCCAAAGGCATTATGGTGAGGAGCTATGTTTTATTTTCATGTACTATGTGTTTAAATGTCTCCATCTGGTGTTATTGTTGAGAGGAAGGTGAGTATGTGAAACCAACTACCCTGATTTGCTTTTCAGACTAGGTTTGATGGGCAGAGGCAGTTTTCAAAGTCCCTACTGTATGAACAAAGGGTGGAACAAAGTCCCTACTATATGAACAAAACAATCAGAAAAGGAAACTGGCTTTTGCGAGAGGTGATGTGTTCTTGTTCAAATACAATGGACTTGAGGTGACCATGGAGCGTTGCAATGGAATATCTTGTAGGTGATTCGAGAAGAGAGAATGGAAGTTGGAAGAGGGAAGTAAGAGCTAGGCAGTGACGTAGGAGTCATACTAGAGAGTAAGAGATGAAGTAGAAAGTATAGGAGTGGGTGAGGGAGAGCAAGAGGCTGGGATCAAACCGTGGGAAACACTGACAGGATAATGGTTGAGACGTTAGTACACCTAGGCAGTGCGCAAAATAGGAAAGGACGTTTGTTCCCAAGGCTGTTTACCCATGAAGGCACACATGGAAACTGACACACATGAACCTTTTACTTGTGGATGTTTGTGCCTTGGATTTGAAGCTTATATTTTGTATTTTAAAAGACCATGTTTTTATATTCTTCCTGATAAAGTTTTCTGAATGATGGCAGTTTTAGAACAATTAGTTTTCTTACTTTTTCATAAGTAATTAATTTCTTATGCCTTCTTTAATGGAAAGAGGGGCACATACGTGTGTCCTTGGGGGTGTATTTGTGTGTGTGACCTTTCTGAGTCAGTAATCACAAATCCTGGGGATTGGGGATTAACAATCATGTTCGAGCTCATTATTGGTTTTATGTATTGTGAGATGATGTAACCTCTCTGCAGAAGCCTTTGCAGGCCTTGGTTGCCAAAGCACCCTGCTACAATACATGATACTCCATTTGTCATACACTACAATTAAAAATGACACTAGAAGAAATTGCTCACTCTGGGAAGCCAAGACCGGAGGATCACTTGAGGTCAGGAGTTTGAGACCAGACTGAGCAAGAGCAAGACCCCATCTCTACTAGAAAAAATATAGAAAAAAATTAGCCAGGCAACTAAAAATAGAAAAACTTAACCAGGCATAGTGGTATGTGCCTGTAGTCACAGCTACTGGGGAGGCTGAGGCAGGAGGATCGCTTGAGCCCAAGAGTTTGAGGTTGTTATGAGCTAGGCTGACGCCATGGCACTCTAGCCTGGGCAACAGAGCCATACTCAGTCTTGAAAAAAAAAAAAAGAAATTGCTGGCTGAAACCACTTACAGCATATTATATAAAGCAGAACTTAAAAAAAAAAATGAATATCCAGTATGCACAGGCCAGGTTAAAGTGCTCCAGGAAAAAAATTATATTTCATTGTTCATAAAAGTAACAACTTATGAGAAATTGTCAATAATGTATCTATACCCTTTTATGAGCCTTGGAAAATATGCTATGCCATTATTCTAAGAAATAGTTAAATATATAATTGTCTTGTCAAACAAAACAAATATTCAGAATTCCACATATTCATTCAAAGGAAGGGATTTGTCCTTAAAACTTCAGAAATTAGCATCAGCACCTGGTGTGAAGCCCAGTGGGGTTCACTTTAGTGCTCTGACTGATGGCATCTCGTGTTCTTCCAGTGTTCTGTCTGAAACCAGAGGAAAATCTGTTCTTTATGCTGCTGGAAACAGTGGTTTCATTTCAAATTCCAGAAGGCCTTCTTTTACTGGCTTAGACCTATCTGAACAGAATTGTGTTTACCTATAAATACAGGACTTTAATTATTTCACTCATTCATCCCAGGCGCAGGTGTGGGGCTAGAGATGCAAGGTAGACAAGGGCTCGCCTTAGTGAAACTTGGATTCTAATGGGAAGGAAAGACAATAAACAAATAAGCAAAAAGTGATGTGGGTAATCTATTAGTTTGCTAGGGTTTCCGTGACAACATACCATAGACTGGGCAGTTTAAACAACAGAAATTTACTTTCTCATGGTTCCGGAGTCTAGATGTCCAGGGTCAAGGTTTGGTTTCTCCTGAGGCCTCTCTCTTGGCTCGCAGAGGGCCACCTTCTTGCCGTGTCCTCACATGGTCTTTCCTCCGTTCTTGCGCATCCCTGGTGTCTCTCCTGTGTCCTAATCTCCTCTTCTTGTAAGGACACCAGTCGGATTGGATTAGGGCCCATCCTAACGGCCTCATTTTAACTTAATCTCCTCTTTAAAGGCCCTGTCTCCAAATACAGTCACATTCTGAGGTACTGGGGTTAGGACTTCAACATACAAATTTGGGAGGACACTGTTAAGCCCATAATATGATCATATAGTACTTGAAAAATAAACAACGCTGTGCTATAGAATAAGCAGACAGGGGTGAGGGGTTGGGAGCCTGGGAGGCCCAAGATGGTGGCACCAAGCTGAGACCACAGAGGGTGAAGCCACGTGAGGAGAAGGAAGAACATGCCAGAGAGTTCTGGAGGTGGGGCAGGACTTATGTGATTCTCAGACGGGTCATGCATCCAAATACAAAAACTCTGAGGACTCAGAAAATGATGGAACTAAGCAAAAATGCAACTCCAGGGCAGAAGTTTCGGCTTCCTGTTGTGTGGCTCATCTCATATCTCTCAGTCAGAAGCTTTTCTTTATATTTAATATAGAACCCCTCTTGTTGGAACGTAAACCTGTATCCTCCTGTTCTGTCACCAGGGAAGAGACGTCCACGTCTGCCCACTTACTGGAAGGTTATTATTTAGCTTTTCTGCAGACTTCTTTTCTGCAAGCTGTTTTAGCTTTTTTCTGCTGGTAGATCTGGGTAACTGGCAGTGCAGAGCTGGCCTCAGGGTCAGGGCGGAGACACAGTGGGGCTTGGGACACAGACACGTCCCAACTCTGCTACCAACCAGCCAAGGGGCTAGGCCCGGCTGAGAGCTTTTGCCAAACTCTTTATCTGGAAAACTCTTTATCTAGATTCTGGTTAATTTTAGCTCTGCATATAATCATATCTATTTAATAATTTTTATGATTCTCTAAAAATCTTTGTGCTTTTCTCAAGCTCTGGAGCCTAAACTAGACATAGTACTGAAATAAAAGTCTGATTTGTATCATTTATTTTACTTCATGAAGCTTACTCATTTTTTGGACAGTTAAATAGCAGCTTGGACTCAAGGTCAGCATAGGACTCATGTCACCCCTTGGCCATCTCCAGCCAACACTGGCATGACACTCACCTGTGCTCTAGCTATTCCCTTTCCTCTTGGGGCCACCCACTCGCCTCCAGGTTGCTCCCCGAGGCCAACAGCATGTGGTCACTTGGCATCCATGGCATCCATGACAATGGCCCATTTGATGTTCTCACCTCCTGGGTTCTAACTGCCACCTGCCTTCACAGAGTTAGAGTTAGAGACAGAGCTGCTCCCTTCCAGACTCTGGGATCATGGAATTCCCTGTCTGATGACTATCACCTCCCTCCTTCAACACCGTGGTGTCGCAAGCTTGCTCTCAGGCCTTATCAGGCTTTGACCCGCAGACCCTTCCCAGCGGCAGGGCCCAGAAGCCAGCCCCTGCCTGCTGCTTTAATGTACCCGGGTCCCGTCATTCCCACTGCGTTCTCAAGGGTTGGCCTCAGTCCTTCGAACTGCCTCTCTGGCCTCCGGTTGCCCTGCAGGGCCCAGCTCTCTGGCTTCCTCTCTCTGGCATGCTAATTGCTGAGCCTTGGGACATAAAGAAAGATCTGAGCTCACCTACATTACCGTAGCCCACCAGAGCTGCTTTCCTCACTTCTCGGGGTCCTCAGTGCTGCCTGGTGATCATTCTGTTAGTCCTGACTCAGCTTCCTCTCTCCCTGCCACAACGCCTAGTCCGAAATGTTGCCCCTTGCTCCAGCTCCTTTCTCCACCAGGGTTCCCCTCAGTTCTCGCAGGTGACCTTGCTTCTTGCTTCTCTGCAGAGGTGAAGTTTCAACTGACATCCCTCATCTTCCTCCTCCTGACCTCTGAACCTTCACCGCCCCCTCCCCTCCTCCGGGCTCTGGGGAAGGCTGTCCTCACCTTTGAAAGCATGATTAGACCCGAGGGCAGGTCTGGGGTCCCCTTCATCTTTGACCCCTTCCCGTGCCTGGCTGAAAAAGTTGATACCTGCTGTTTGACACCAAGACAATGAAACTGTGAACTCATGAAAAACCTGTTTAGCATCTTTACTTTCTTACCTAGCACCCGTTTCATGGGAAACATCTACGGATTTATGAGACTTGTATACCCCAAGCACGCAGTTTGATCTTTTCTATCAGTATTTCATCAACATGAACACCAGTTTTCAGGCATATTTTC